ACATCTTGTTGACAAGTTGTTGGAACAGCATTGTCACAACTTTTTAGCAAGCTTGCTACAAGCCTGTTGAGGAGACATTTTGTTGACAAGTTGTTGGAACAGCATTGTCACAATTTGTTAACAAGCTTGCTACAAACCTGTTGAGGACACATCTTGTTGACAAGTTGTTGGAACAGCATTGTCACAACTTTTTAGCAAGCTTGCTACAAGCCTGTTGAGGAGACATTTTGTTGACAAGTTGTTGGAACAGCATTGTCACAATTTGTTAACAAGCTTGCTACAAACCTGTTGAGGACACATCTTGTTGACAAGTTGTTGGAACAGCATTGTCACAACTTTTTAGCAAGCTTGCTACAAGCCTGTTGAGGAGACATTTTGTTGACAAGTTGTTGGAACAGCATTGTCACAATTTGTTAACAAGCTTGCTACAAACCTGTTGAGGACACATCTTGTTGACAAGTTGTTGGAACAGCATTGTCACAACTTTTTAGCAAGCTTGCTACAAGCCTGTTGAGGAGACATTTTGTTGACAAGTTGTTGGAACAGCATTGTCACAATTTGTTAACAAGCTTGCTACAAACCTGTTGAGGACACATCTTGTTGACAAGTTGTTAGAACAGCATTGTCACAACTTTTTAACAAGCTTGCTACAAGCCTGTTGAGGATACATCTTATGGACAGGTTTTTGGAACAGCATTGTCACAACTTGTTAACAAGCTTGCTACAAACCTGTTGAGGAGACATTTTGTTGACAAGTTGTTGAAACATCATTTTCACAATTTGTTAACAAGCTTGCTACAAACCTGTTGAGGACACATCTTGTGGACAGTTTGTTGGAACAGCATTGTCACAACTTGCTAACAAGCTTGCTACAAAACTGTTGCGAAAAATCTTGTTGTGCAAGTTGTTGTAACAGCATTGTAACAACTTGTTAACAAGCTTGGTACAAACCTGTTGAGGATACATCTTGTTGACAAGTTGTTGGAACAGCATTGTCACAACTTGCTAACAAGCTTGCTACAAGCCTGTTTAGGATACATCTTGTTGAAAAGTTGTCGGAACAGCATTGTCACAACATGATGTGGTGGTGATCTCGATCCTTTGGGTTTTTCTCATTATTGAAACGTTTTCCATTTCTTCAGCTCATGTTAAAACAAGCCTGATGGGAGCGAGTTTAACTGTCCCAATAACAAACGGCAAACTTAATCTTGGTTCATGGCAAGGGATCTGGCTTTGTGAACATCGTGATCATGCTAACCCAAGAAGGATTGTTGTAACATTGCAAGGAACTCAGAAATAGGAATGAGAAACATTGTACGAAACATGTACGTGCGAGTTCTGAGAATTGGATTTTCCTCGAATTGTGTTGAATTTGAATATTTACTAAAAAAATTGAATTTCAAAACTGGGATCAGGCTAGGATGGGATCAATTGTAGTGTACACTACTCCTGTTCCCCCAAAGTATGTTAGCGATTTATATATACCCCTTCCTTTCTATAAAACAATTTTTATCCAGGACAACGTTAGGAAGTGTTGTACTTCAATAGACCTACCGATTATTCTCTCTTACTCAATGGCCTCGTTTCCATGTTAACTTATTTTAGCATGTCAGGGGCAGATAAAGATTATATTCCCATGTTTTCCTGGACGAATTTGTTTCTTACTGTTCTTAGGCTCAATAACAAACAACCCTACTAAGCACAAAACATGAGTAAGTATTTGACCCGAAAACGAGGCCATTGGGTAAAAGAGAATAATCGGTATGGTCTATTGATCCCTATTATCGATATATACAAATAAATATAGTCGACCCTTGCTATAACAGGGTTCACTACAGTATAATAATTATACGACTCTGTATATAACGCGATTTATTCTTGATCTTTAATACGTGGTGCTAACATACTGTTCGTGAACTACATTAGCATATGGTACGTGATGTATAACGCCTATGATCACGATGTATGATGCTCTCGTACGTGATGTGTATATACGCGAAGCACACATGATGTATATAATTTAAACATCATATTTATCATATTTATTTATCACTTTAACGTTTTACATACTTGAGACGTCTTCTCTCACGTCGTCTTAAATGAAGTAAGAGCAAAAGGCGCCGATTTAAAGCGGCCTGTTTTTGCGATGAGTGGAAAAGAGCCATTACAAAATCCCATTCCAAGCTGCAAATTTGCAGGCAGGGATGGATCAGTAAGATGCATGGGTGCTCATCGACCCTTGATCATGGTTTGAGGTGCGATGGTTGACTAAGTAAATAATCATTTGGGGCCGGTTGTTCAAAGCACTGATTAGCTGGTTTGAAATTTAACCTGCTGTTTTAGTTTATGTATTTCGTTACGTCTGTCTATTTCAAAACTTCAGAGAAGAAAACTGCTACTGGTTCAGACAAGATCTCTAAAGAAATATTTCCAAATTTATAAAGAAGTTCTTGGAAAGTTTGCTTTGAATTTGCTTTCATATATTGCATTTGATAATGAAATTGCCCCCCCCCTGCTTGCCCCCTCTTCCTTGCCAAGACTAGGGGGGGGGGGGGTGCACCCCTGTATCCCCAGTAGATCCATCCCTAATTGCTGGTGCATATCCCATTCCCAGTAAATCTCAAATTCATTAATAATTCAGGAGTAAATTAGCCAACCGTATTGCCTTATTTTGTTCACATGATAATACTGGATACCTGATGAAGTACAGTATATTGATCCTGTCCTAGGACTGGATCCAAATTAATTCAGTCCTTGGACTGGATCCAAATTAATTAAGTAGTGATTTATTCGTATGGGATGTCATTTCAAATCCTCCAATTCGGACTGGACTAGATTTGAAGTCCTCGCATTTTCATCCAGTCCTCGGCGTCGCTTCGGGCTTGATCAAATTCCGTGGACTTGAAATCTAGTCCAGTCCTCATAGTCGGATTTGAAATATTACATCAAATCCCATTTTCCCAGTGAAAAAAATAGTCCAAGCTCCCTTTTTTTGCAAGGGCTCGTCCATAGCGAACGTTTGTTCAAGCAAGAAGCTTAATTATATCGCGTGTATGATTTATACATATACTGTAGCAGTAATATAATTATTGTATACTGATGTTTAAAATTTAGGAACCGGCTAGGCATACATGGCCATGTAGTATGTAGTTTTGAATACAAATGTAACTCATTTTAATAGTTTTCCATGCAGCTCCGAAAAAGGGAATAAGATTATTGATAATGATATTCTTGCAGTAATATAATTATTGTACACTGATGTTTAAAATTTAGTAACCGGCTAGGCATATAGTATGTTGTTTTGAATACAAATGTAACTCATTTTTATAGTTTTCCACCCAGCTCCGGAAAAAGGAATAAGATTATTGATAATGATATTCTTTTTTTGGCTGTTCAAACATGTAAAGTACACATTGTTCAAAGTTATGTCATTCATTTTTCATGATTTGCTCAACGTATGAATATTTTACAACTCGTGAGGACATTTTTAATTTGCAAACATGTTTCGACTAATAATACACGGTTGCCAATCAGGTTTGAAATGAAATACAAACAAATCGAAGTGTGAAACAGTATAAACGTGTATTCATATCGCAATTTTAATATAGGGTAATGTCAGGCGCTGTGAAAGTAAATAATCGTCAGAAGGCTGAACTACAATTAAAGTAAGTTGAATTCATTATTTTTCTAACAGATGCGCGGTGTTCGATTAAAGCAAGGAAAGCGGCTTAAAGTATATATACAGTCCTACATGTAAGAGCGAGTATGCAATTATAGCTTACTGAATTACAGTAAAATGTATCAATTTAATGTTTGAATAAGTGTAAGAATTTTACATGCAGAAATCCATCCGATACGGATTATGGACAATTTCAATTGTCCCGACATAAAAAGTTTTTTAAAACCCTCCATCTAACAAACACCTCTCATTAAATACGGATACCCTGCTGTATTCGTGCTGTGCATGTCCGCATTTTAAGCCCGTTTTCTACTGGGCAAATTTTATGGCGCGAAGGGAAGCGAAAAACGAATTCTTTTCTTGCTTCGTTGGCGAAGGAGTTCGCCGTGATAAAAGTAGCAATCGTAATCCTTTCGCTAACCAATCACACTGCCGAGAATTGTCTTCGCTTCGCGCAAATTCGACTACTTGAGGAAACAGGTTTTAGAGAGGTTCAACCGTTCTCCATATATTGAATTTTTGCTATAGATATAGTTGTTTGGGACGAATTGTTAAATAATTCACAGAAAATGGCGGATGTTGTAAGGTAAAAGACGGTTTATCTATGATGTGATCGAATGTTAAGTGTTATTCCACGAGCTTTCAATTGCAGTCAACTGTCTCTATCTAATACGCACACGTCTCTATTACAAACAGATTCCAATCTCCCGTCTGCATAATCTATTTTTTTAAAAAACCTCCATAAATAGGCGCACGCTTTTGTTATGCTGTCGCCTTTTCATTGGCATTGCTCATTTTAGAGAGTTTAGTACTACGTTTTAAGGCTTTTCTTCTGAAGAAAATGGAACTTAGAGTAGCTCCCCCCTCGTACAACTCTGTGACAAAAACGGCAGAATTGCGCAATACTTGGCAGAAATTGCGCATTTGTTTCCTGACTGCACAATTATCCCTCACGACCCCCTGTTACCCCCTCTCTGTTTTGGCCACAGAATTACCTGCGAAGGATGTCAAATTTAGGGTAGCACCCCAATACCCCTATTTCTCTTCCACTGTAGCTGCTCTTCCCTCCTATAGATCCATTGCAGTTGACCATGTATAATTTTTTTGTGTTTGTTGGTGTTATGCACGTGTACTCAGGTGAATATGATGCCTGTGATGTTACTCAGAGTGTGCGTCCACACCGGGCAAGCTGAAAAGTTTGCTTGGCCACGGTGGGAATCGAACCCGCGACCTTTGGGAGCATATTCACCTGAGTACACATAACACCAACAACACAAAAACATCGTATCATAGAATACACTGATATCGAAGGAATTAGACTCAGTTCCTAAATATCATCAACTCGAACCGACTTGACCACGTAGCTCAGTTGGGGGCCATTCACAAAGGATGTCCGAGCCGAGGGGGGGAGGGGGGTTTGGAAAATCAGGACAAACTCGGACATAGGGGG